CGACCTGGTCGTTGCCCTGCAGGCGAACAGAACCGTGGCCTTTCGGATGTCCATCCTGATGCTTGATGCTTTGGCTACGGTTGCATTGTTGCATTGTTGCATTGTTGCATTGTTGCATTGTTGCATTGTTGCAGACGGAGACCGCACGGTGGGGGCGGAGGCGGGGGGGCGTTGTGTTCTTTTCGTAGAGTTGGGCCACGCCTATGTCTGGGTTTCACACAATCACAACCCACCGTGCTGTTTATCGCTTGGTTAAAGACGTTGGTGAGCAATCGATTTATTTGCGTGGTGTTGAGGGCATTGCGATGTGTCGTTTTGGCTTGTTGTTTCCAGGATATGCTGGCGCTGGGTGGGTGGCTTGCAATGTTTGCTTTGACGAGAGAGATGAGTTTATGGTAGGTACCTAGTATGAGATGTCAAATAGTATTGGGTAATTTGAGAACCTGTGCCGTGTCGTGTCGTGTTGACTTGCTGTAACCCGGCTTTATCGCTGGACGGCGGAGCGATGTTATGGGTTGATGACCGTGACCCAAGCTGATGGCGTTGAAGGGAACAGGCAGATTGCACCTCCTCCCGCCGGTCCTTCTTCTTCACCCTCCTGAATCCTAATATGTCGAATACACACTAGAATTACATCTACCTAGGGCTACACTTCGGCCACTAAGGCAACGCTAAAAGATCTAAGACAGATCATACAAAAGCTAATGGATACATCAATCATAACCTCGTGCAGTGCGCTGTATGCCCACTTGCCATGCCCTGCCCGGCCACACTCCCTGTATATATATGTGTATGTCCCCCAACTCTCACCCTCCAACTTTGTTGCATCTGGCATTACATTAGTACAAAATCCTTCTTATTTTGTTAGTATACATGAACAAATAAAAATATGGTATCCAAAAGAAAGAAAACCCCTTTTTCCCTTCCCTGCTCCCCCATTAGTCAAAACAGGCGGCACTGGCCCCGTGCTAGTACCCCTCCCGCGGCCCGTGGTGTCCTCCCCCAAACATATTATCATTACCCCCTATTCCATGGCCTCCCCCGGCGTACCATTCCACTTGGTCCGTAAATCCGTGCACCTCGTTAGGGCTGGGGGACGGTTGAAATGGCCCTCCCTGTCCCGGGCCCGCAGTATGAAAGACGTGATGATGGGGAGCCCCCGTAACCGGGTGTATGCCCACAGGGGATGGCTGGGCGGCTATATCATCAGGCATGGTCTTGTTGCAGCTCGGACAGTACATGTTGGCGCACCTCCCTGGCGGGTGTGCTTCCACTAGCGTTTGGCTCGAGTCCCGGTTCTCGTCGCGATTCCAGAGAAGACTAGCAAGCGAGGATCTTGGAGTGGTGGACATGGTCAGCCTGTTTGCGTGGATGGTGGCTGCTGACGGTGGGCGCGGGTCGACATCGTGTTGCATTGCGTCGGGTGACATGGTGTCGGACTGTTCCGACCCCAGGTATGCCGCAGCTTGGACGTCCAATTGGTTTGGGTGGATGGAGCCGTAGTGGCCTGGTGTCATGGTCGGATGCTGGAAAACATCACCTGGAGTGGTGTAGGGAACGGGGTAGGCGGTGGTTACTGTCACCGCCGGGGTTTCCCAGCTCGTATGATACGGCTGGCCTGGGTTGATACCTTGCGTGGTCGATGGCGCCAAGGGAACCGACTGGCTTGGGAGCACTGTGGGAGGCGGCCTGAAAGTATTGCTCACGACTCTTGCCTGTGATTGAGGTGTCCCGGGCTCGCTGTATTGGGAGCGGTATTTGGGTCGGGGCTGGGGCTTTGGGCAGGATCTCGGGCCGCTTGATTCTCTTGGGTGGTGGATTGGGACGTCTCCTGGCAGATGTACCCCTGATGCTGGCGGGAGCTGGTGCGCCAGGGCTCTCGGCACCAGGCACGGTACTCGTGGCGGAAGCGGCATTGCCAGGCACAACCGTTGTCGTCGGTGCGGGAGAAGGGGGGAGATGGGGGGTGGAAGCCCAACTGTCGCTTGTGGCCGGCTGGCTGATGGCCGAACTTGTAAAAAGCGACACGGTCCCTGCTATCCTCTGCTCCCAATCCTGGACGACGGTTTCGATCCAGTTGTAAATAGACCCTGTGCTCCGTTCAATGCCTTGACGGATCTTGAGATCGACATTCATCACCTGGGTGGCTCCTTCGAGGACGTGATGGTACTGAAGCCCGAGAAGATCGCTCAGCACGGCCAGGAATTTTTTGGACTCTGCAACAAAGTCGTATATTTCCATCACCGGAACGAACACTCTCTTGGTTAGAGGCATTGAGCTGATGGGCATCACACGGCAGTGCTTACCTGGGTCAGGGATAGTTCGATCGGCTGGGAAAAGGAGTTTCCACAGTGAGATCCAGTTGTCGATCTTGGCCTTGAGGCTCCTAGCTTCCAAGGACGAGATGATCTTCTGGGTGATGCCATCTTCGGGGTCCGCGCCGCCACTATCGAACGAGACGTGGCAAACGTCCACCTGGCGCAAATGGGAATCTAAATCCGTCTTTGAGACGAACCCCTGGCCGCATCGAGGGCAATGAAAAAGGCCGGCATTTCTCTGGACAGGAGGATGGTGCGCGCGGATATGTTTTCTGCAGCGGGGTTAGCTAAGAAGTCCGGTTCTGAAATCTGCCAAGCTCACTTCAGTTGAGACATGTCGGCAAAAGAATGTGTGGCGCAGACGTAATAGTCTCGCACGTTGAATCGTAGGGGGTTGCGTTTCCGATAGGGACAGCTGAAGTTGGTGGTGTTTCCTTTGCTGCTGTATGCCTGCGAGGCTGGGGAGACATCTCTCTCTTCGTTTCCTTGGTTGTCTCGGCCACCGAACCCGCTTCCATCATCACTACCCCCATCTGCCTTCCTCTTTCCTTTCCCGTGTTGCCCGCCGTGCTGTTGATCACCGCCCCCAAGGCCTGGGCTACCGCCGTAGTGGGGTGACGGAGTGCCGTGGCCAGACGTGGACTGAACAAAGCCGAGGTTCCCCTCGTGGGATGCGGTCCAGAGTTCCTGAAGATACCGGTAGGTACAGTCCCAGACCAACAGTGGGGCAGCGCAGTCATCCATGTCCTTGCCGAAGGTGTTCCTCAGGACCCAGGATGAGATCTCGTCGACCAGCCTGGCCTCCTCATCCTCACTCTCCGGGCCCTCACTGTCACTATGGGTCCCAGCGGTGCCATGGTCGGCCATGGCTGGCGGGGCAAGTTGAATCCTGTCTCACGCGTGAGTGGGGGCTGTCACCAAAAGAGACGTCTTACAGAAGTACGCACCTGCTGGTTTGCTTCCTTGGTTTGCGGTGAGCGGCAACGGGTGCGCCGCCGTCTGTGTCTTCGACCTCAATGCGGATTTCCCGAGACAGGCGGGATTCGGCACGGCTGCACTCGGACTGAGTGTTGACGTAAGTGGTGGAGGAAAGGAGTGAATCGATGGAGCCGATGCCACGGTTATGCTTCCGGAAAGAAGCATCGTTTTCGTCCTTCACGGCTACCTTGCCCTGAGTGTCAACAAGCACGAGGTGAGGGCGACTGCCCTTGGCGGACTCTGGCGTCATGGACTTGGAAGCTGGTGGGAAGTTACCCATGGTCGGGCTGCTCGGCGGGGTGGTGCCGGAGAGGGAGAGAGCATCGGCGGCGGCGGGGTGTCGCCTGGGGTCGGCCTCGGAGTCGTGGTGCCGGGCGGTCACCGTGTCGAGGTCGGCAGCTGCAGTCTTCCGCGCAATGGCTGCATCGTTCCGAGGGCGATAGGGAAGGTAAACGACTGTGTCGCTGCCCAGCTTCTGTGCGACGCACCGGGACACAGGGGACCTGCCCCTGGCACCGGGTTCCATACCTATAGCTCGGGGCTTAGAACTCGAGCCCGACGAGTAGGAGTAGGAGTAGAGGCAACGGCGGCGGCAGTGGCAGTGGCAGCGGCAGCGGCAGCGGCAGGAGCAGTCGAAGCCAGCAGAGAAGGCGCTCCACCACCAGAGGCCTCGGCCCCGCGACGTCTCGAACCCGGGCCCCCCTCGATGACGCCCCGGCAAAGGCCGTGGATGGGGCTCCGAGGACAACAGCAGCTCACAGCAGCTGGGGCAGGGCGGACTGGACCGCTCAAGCGCTGGTTGCGCTGGCTGCGACGTGGGACCTTGTCACGGCTTGTTGTTTAATTTGTTCATGCGATGTTTTATGCGAAAAAGCGATAGAAATGAGCGACTGTAACGAGCGTGTGTGCGAGTGTGTGCGAGCGCGTATGTGCGCGTGTCCGAAGTACGGGATCTGTAATGAACGAAGGGCCACTCGCATGACAAAGGAGAGAGAAACCGAGAAATTGGCCTTGCTCCCCCGCGACCGACCGATGCTGGGCACCTGTCAGCGTTCTTCAGTTGGAAGTTGCCAGAGTGAACGAGCCTCGTGGTTCCCCCCCCTGAACAACCGCGACGTGTTTTAATTTCGATCGTCCCAATCGAGAAGTCGCAGCTGTGGCACCAGGGCCAATTAAAGGAAGCGTCAACCGCAGGGCTGCCATTGGCTCAGGCAGCCGTACCTGAGCCTCGCCGCCTTGGCCCTGGCTTAAGCCTGGCTCAAAACCCGATACAGCGATGTTCCTCCCGCAGTGCACAGGCCATGGGGTCGCATCAAGCATCGCATCTCAGATTGGGAACCTGGGGACAACATGATTCACCCAAGGTGGCCTCTGTTTTCGGAATTTATCTGATGTTTCAGGCAAGCTCGGATCGGCTTGTTACCTCAGACCCACATTTGACTTCACTGCACACTTCGTTTATGAGGAACATTTCGGCGACAGCAGATTATTCTAACAATACTGTGTACAATGCGTACATGAGACCACCTCAACCTCATGTCTTGAACACAACCATTTCGGATTTTCGGAATTCGTTCGTTTTTTGTGGCCCCCATCCCAAGTGTCAAGTATCTCAGTGTCTCAGATTTCTTCCTTCTACCAGACTAAGTAGATATCCAGCCCAACGTCCCGTGTTTCCGCGACAAGAAGACGCAGGGGACATGATGACATACATATCTTCCCAGACATCCATCGCGTTCCTCCCCACCTGCATCTGCATCTGCAACCCCAAGTTACAACTTGGCATGAAACGCAAGCCGAGGCCGTGCCGCTGCAGCCAGCCGAGCCTTGAACCCACATTTGACGGGTGCAGCTAATCCCCAGCTGATTTTTTCTAGAAGGTGGACCAAATATTATGTCGACCCGCAGCAAAACTGCAGAACTGCAGAACTGCAAAAGTTCTGTGACAAGGGTGAGATTCGAACTCACGCCCCATTACTGAGACCAGGAAATCTATGAGATTCGCTAATTCAGGTGTTCCTGAACCTGGCGCCTTAGACCGCTCGGCCACCTTGCCATGGACTGCGAGAATTCTGCATGCCGACGTTTCAACATCAACGGCACTTCGCACAACTGACCGCGGCCAACATGCCACATAGGCATGGGCATTATGATCATATGCACAACGACCGTAGGACTGGCAGCATATCGAATTTGAATCAAGATCTAATAACTCGTTGACCTGACTGTCATGAATATCTTGAATTCCCACCCACACAGGCTTGAAGGCAACAAGTTCCTTCTTACCTAAAAGGCCGAAACGCCATCGCCATCCAACCTCAACCACACGCACGCGACGACGCATAATCCCAGTCGGTGTGAAGCGCACCTCTCAGTGGTCCTCGGCGCTGTCCGCATAATCGTGGTTGCCGCTCGTGTGGCCTACGGATCGATAGACGAAACCCTGTCATCTGTTGCACTAGCGCCATAGACTCTCTCCGTCCCCCGTCGTAGCAAGGCGATAGTTGCAGTCATTGGAGACGTTGTCTAGCCGCCGGTCTAGTAGGCACTGACGCTGTCGGCATTTCAGGAGAGGACTGAGCACTTGCACACCGTCCACGGATTACATGTACACTAACAGGGTATATGTTGAGACATTTGCTGCTGGATGTCACCCATGGGCCGCGTTGGCCATTTCTTGCTTTGAGCTGCTGCAATGCCACTCCTTGCATGCCACGGTTCATTGCTCTCTTTATCAGTCCCGGCGCTTAAGAATTTTTGTCTCAAGATCCGAGAACCCCTCTTGTCCCGTCACTGCCACAGAGCTTTGCCATCAAAATAAAAGTTAGGCCTACGGGCAGTCGATGCCACGTCGGCATCTGACCCGTTTCTGGACGGCTCATAGGCACCACGTCATGATGTACATCATTGCCCAATCAGCGTCCCCCGTGTTTTTACTGCAATGTCATGGCACTAGAGGGACTCAAAGGCATGCTCTGAGACAGTCGTTTCGCTCACGGCAGCGGATGTCGGCGAGGAGAATACGATGGGAAATTTGGATGCTGATTGGGAGAGGACACAAAAGTGTGAGAGAAGATACACGACACTCTTCAGTCCCTGGAAGAGGTTGATATGTTGACAACAAAATGTTGGTCACCGGTTGGAACTGGTGAACCCCCCTAGGCATACATGTATCTAAACGCCTTTAGCACACCTGAGCCCTGAGCCGATGCACTTCACGATGCAACGCAAAGTTCTGGAGCGCAGCGCAGCCTGCGGTACGGTTTTTAATGATATAAAACTTATGGAGGGAGTACCTACCTAGCTACGTTACTCGCGATGTTGTATTCGTGATTTGTGTGGTGGAGTTGAGTCATTTCGTTGTCGTCCGGAGAGTGAGGAACTTGAAATGTTCAGATACGGATCTTGCCAACACGTGGTTCAAGACTCTCACCGTCATGGTGTCCCCCTCCATGAACCCGATCAGAACACATCCGTTTTGCAGAGCTAGAACAGCTACTCTTCCGCGAGCGGTAACAAACGAATCTCGAGTGGTCATAAGGGGTTAACTGCCTTCCGTAATTTGTGTTCTAGAGTGGCTCATGCATCGATGTGTTGTTGTCCCACATGTTTCCGGTTATAGCACCAGGCTCTGCTTCCTACTGCCACTCACAGAAAGAAAACATTGATACTTGTTCCCAACATTGCCTTAGCCTAGAAAGTTTCCTGCGCCATTCATCCCTTTCAAGGTCATGCCAGATATGCCCCCTTTTTCCATTCGAAATTTAACCCGAGTTGGCCCCGCACACGGGCTACCTACCTAAACAGCTTCACCATTTTCTAAAATTTGGGATCTTGAGCTATGAGCCGGTTAGCATCAGAAACTCCAGAAAAGATAGTCCTTGGGGTTAGTGCAGTTCCATCCATACCTGAGGGATGGGCCCTGGGGTACGGATTTTGTAGACATCCTGGTCCACCTGTGAAATGAGACAGTTGTCAGTACTATCACCCACACAAGTGGAATTTGGGGTGCGCTCTCATACATCGACGTTATATCCACCCGCCGGGAACAAGGACCGGAGCAGCATATTCAGCTGTCCTGCCCTGATGCACTCGCTTGGAATTTCATGCACGCTGGCGAACTCCTTCTCGTCCGGACTCATGCGTATGACCCCGTTCTGCTGGCTGGTGATCTGGAGGATTTGGCTAGTCATTGGGGCTTGTAAAACTGACGGTTAAATCTGAGGCGTGTTGGTGTTCTGCAATATGATGGTGTGTTGTCGCGTGGTGGGAAACCGAATTGGGATCTTATTCCTTGGAATCATGTCTAATAAGTCGAGCTTCCATTAAATTCGCCATACTATCGATCCGTACGACTTCATACATCAGGCGTGGGACAAAGTTGACCGAATATCCAATAGGGGACATTGCTCGGTGAATACTGCATGGCTGGCAAGGCAGATTTAGTCCCGGGCCACTCATATTCTCAAACCCAGAGCCTTGCCACCCCCGAGATGTCAAACTGCCCGTGTCAGGCCAGGTTTGCCTGCGGCCACCCACCCTGCATGACGTCCCTCTGTGTTTGGCCCGGCAATTGGCCAGTGGCTGAACGTAAATGATGCCCGTCACATGTCGGACATTCCGCATTCCATTTATTGGTGGCCCTGAATATTGAGGCTCGGTTGGATCGTTAGGTACTTGGGCACCTAGGTACCTAAGGTTGTTTGACGAGGCTCTGGAAACACAAAAGCTACATGTACATACAAGGTACTTCTCTTTGATGAGCAAACGTGAAACTGAAAAGAATTCTCAGGAGGCCGCTTCCTTCAGACATTTGCCTATTAATCTTTCGTCTTTAAGCGGATTGGTTAGCGTTCATGACTAGAGCCCCCAAGACGAACAAGACAGCACCATCATCACCGCCGATTCGATTACTCCCAAATGCCGCCCTCTGAGCACGACAGACGTAACGATGACCCGTTACAAGCAGATATCGAGGCCCTGCTAGCTGCTGGCCGGTCCGGTGATGCTAACGCCCGAGGTTATGATGACCCACGGGCGCAGCGGGATGCCATCCGAGGCCAAGGGGGCACCGGTGCAGACCTACCCCAGAAAGACCACAATGGGCCTGGACAACCGCTCAGGCGGCCGCCGGCAAGCGAAGCCGAAACTGAAGCATCGCGGATGACTATATGGGACCGGGGCGATGCGCAATACAATGAGGCAAAAAACTCGACCGAGTGGTCCCACAAACCGGAGGTCATATTGCCGACTACGCTACCCAACGAACCTCTGATTGACCGTTTGATGAGTCTTCGGTGCGAATCCAGCCGGCCCAAGGGCTCCCAATATTACCCTAAGGGTACGGTTGAAGCGCTGATGACGGCTGAAGAGATCGAGTCGGTCATTCGCGAGGGTAGACACCACCTTGAGGGGGCTGGCAGACGGCTCACGGACGAGGAGGTAAGGGACTATGCACGCGCGGCCCATGTGCAGCTAGACGACGACACCGAGTCGAGTTACCGCAGGATATTCGCCATTTTGGTCCTGCTCAAACGCGGGTGGGACATAGTCCTCTTCATCGACGAGGGCATCTGCGACAAACACCTCCCTCTCAAGACGGTTCCCGTCCCTGGAGCTCATCCGGATGCGCGTCCTAAGATGAGGTTAGGAGGTGATCCTAACACCCCGCTGGCCTGGCTCAGCCACTGGCCGGGGGTCGACCACGAGGGCTTTGAGCGAGAGCAATGGCTCATGTTGGCCCCCTTTTTTGCCCGCGGCCAGCGCAAGAGCGCCTGGCTCTACGAACTGCCCAGGACGGTTGTGCTTCCATGGATTGAAAAAGAAACGGAAGTAGTGCGCCAGGGAGGATATGGCCTCGTGTCCAAGGTCAAAATTCATCCAGGCCATCACACTTTCGACCTCACCAAAGCCAGCGATGGCATGTTTGCCGTGAAGTGCTTCAAAAGGCATGTTCCCAACGAGTCTAGCAGTGGGGCCTCAACTACTTCCAGGCGTCTTACTAGGAGGGAGTTCGAGAACGAAATCGAGATTCTGAACCGCTTTAGTGGAGATGTTCACCCGCATTTGATCTCGCTTCAAGCAGCGTTCCGGCACGACGACGAATACTGCGTCATTCTTCCCTGGGCTGACTGCGACCTTCTTGAGTTCTGGAAGAAGACAGATCCAGGGTCTCCTCTCGATAAAACCAACCTCCTGTGGATGCTTGACCAATGTCGGGGGCTCGCCAGTGGCCTTCTGAGCATCCACCGATACCAACAAACCGAGACCGTCGCCCATGAAGACGGCCGAGATTACAGGGCCGAGAAGCCCTTCGGTCGGCACGGAGATATTAAGCCTGCTAATATCCTGCTCTTTCGAAACCAGGGCGAACCCGGGGATCGCGGGAGGCTGGTCATCACCGACTTTGGCCTCTCGCGCTTCCACAGCGATGGGACCAAATCGTACTTTCTAAAGAGGGATAGTCTTGCTTTTACCTATACATACCGCCCTCCGGAATGTGATCTAGATGTATGCTACATCTCGAGATCATTCGACATCTGGTCGTTCGGTTGTGCTCTGCTCGAGTTTGCGGCCTGGTACCTTGGCGGTTGGGCCTTGGTTAAGGCATTTTCCCATCGTCGTAGGGTGAGGGACGACCCCCAGCTGCCCGAATTCAACTTTGATCATTTTTTTGAGCGGGGAGAGCGGCCGGAGATGGGGGGAGGTCGCCGCCATGCCGACGTCAACCCCCGAGTCCAACAGGTAATGCCATTATGCCACCAGCCGGATCATGCCCAATACCCAATCCCATATTCCACGAAATGGATACTGACTGCAAACATACAGTTTGTCAATGATGAACTGCATGGTCATCCCCTCTGTCCCGAGGCGATACACCGCCTACTAGACTTTGTCATGCAGAACATGCTGGTGGTCGAACTGGGAAAACATGGCCGTGTCGAGTGTGGCCCGGTGTGCGCAGAGCTCAACGCCTTGTACGAAACGGTCGCCGACCCATCATACCAAGTGGCGGCCTCTCCCCGCCCCAGGCCAACGGCTCAGGCCACAGGTATATTTCGAATTGAGAGGCACGTCTCTCATCTCGATGGGAGACCAAGCAGCAGATACTCGCCAAGACGGTCACCCCTGACTTGGAGCTGACGGAATACAGAGCGCTTTGCTTCTTCCTTCTCTTTCTTTTTCTCTTCAGCATCAGATGTAAGGACTTGGAATACCAGTACTAGACGGGTGCCTACCGCCTGATCTTGATGGAGCCACCAGTAGTGTACGTTGTGATAGAACAAAACATTCATTAAACATTGAATCTGGAAGAGAAGATCAATCTTCTCCTGCGTATTCTGCCCGTTCCGCCGCTAATATGAATAAAACTACGCCATCCGCCATGAACCACCCTCCCCACCCCCCAACGAATTCACAACCACGTAATCATGTTTCTTTACGGCGTTGGTCCAATGGTCGTTGGTAATGCCGTTGCTTGCTGTTGATGACATCGATTTCAGGCTGTGCGAATCATGGTCAGGGAGGAGCGGTGTGTGGGCTACGGAAAGAATCATGGCTTACCTGGGAAAGCTCCCGAGGCAGATTCAGGAAGACCTGCCCCATCCGCACCTACATTTCGGGAAAATCCAAGTCAGCGAGGCTTCAAACATTCCAAAAGATACCAACAGACATCAACCGTAAAGCCCCCGTTCGGGAACAGTCTCGTGAGTTCCTCCTTGAGTGACTTGATGTCGTTGTAGCGCAGGTGGATGATCTGCTCGACTGTCATGGTGGCTGAGAGACTGGTCACTTGGAAATCTGGCTGAAAGATTACTGGCTGGCCGGTGAGAGACTGTCTTCCGGTGCGGTGAAACGGGTGGTGATGGAAACCGGGCGTTTCTACAGCTTGTCTTCAAGGCTTCTTCCGAAACGAACACCTCCTTAGAGAGCTAATAGCCCACTTGATATACCGGCGAGAGCTCAGAGTGGTCCCACTGTCAGGAGGAGTCGCGCGCAAGGCTTCATTGTTTCGGGCAGCAACACTCCGCCTAACCCAGCACGGCATATCGTGGTACAACACCAGCAAATGATATGATGCATGTTGCCGTCTTCCGCTACCGTAACCGGGCATCAAGGCAGATGCAGGACGGATGCTCCCAAGACCATATAGTGTGGAGGGGTGCAGAGGGCCATCATTGGTACAGCTTCTCCAACTGCGATATGCACCACGACACACCACGACGCACCACGATGCACCCCGCCACGGCTGCACTCGCGGAGCCTCGTGCTTGCTAGATGAAAGATGCCTTGGTGGGGGCCGTCCAGTGCTGGAAACATCCACCCATCCGTATTTAGACCGCTCAGCAATACGTTGCACTGTTTGGACTCAGACGCAGTACGGAGTGTTAGAATCGTGAAAGCACGGAAGATGGACTGGTATGTCAAAAGCACCGAGTTCTATCTACTCCTACCCATTTTCCCGGAATCACGGGAGTTCTTCCGCCACAAATGCAGCTCTCCACTTCTCTGTTCAACATATCAAACAGTTAACTACGGACCAGTGATGCTGACCCTATCGACTTAGGCCCCTCAAGGACCCTGCTTTCTTTGACCAAGACTTGGATGACCTTTACCGCTACGAGCCACAGAGGAGCAAAGCAGTGTACCGTTTTGAGGGTGACGAGGTATTTGATTGTCTTTGCGACACCGCCGTACGGTGGACGCTGACTCAATTCCAGGACATAATAGAATGCTGGTTAGACACTGACCAGGACGTGTCAAGATGGTTGGAAAAGGTACTTGATGGTGGCCAGAATCGGAAGAAGAGCAGGGCTAAGTCGAAGAACTTGATCAGGTCACTGAGCAGCGGTCCAGGGGCAGGCCTGGGATAGCAGTCATGTACGCCCCCGCCTCACCCCTTTCCCTTACTCTTGGTTTGAGTTCAAGGTCATCTGAACTGGGTATTAACACAGAGAGCACACAGACTGGCCGCCCGCGCGGAGCAACCCGACATCCGACACAACCCAGCGATTCTCGAGTACCTCCCCTTCTCGCGGGAAAGTTTTGAGAAGATCGTCACATGCCTACCTCTGCACGGAGACACGGCGCGGGTCGTCAACCGCTACAACATGGCCTTCTTCACAAGCATCGACCTGCTCGACAGCCCAGCCAACGCCATCTGTCCGTGACCACCCCCTTTTCTCTCCCACTTTTTGTATCCCCACTACTTACTCCTACTCGTACCCCATCCACCCAGCTAACCCAACACCCAACCACGCACATAGTCCACATCCTCCGCACCACAGCCACGCACCCAGGCGACCTGGCCCTGTCCTCCGTCTCCCACCCCATCATCACCACCACCACCCCGTGTCTCTCTCGACTCGTGGCGGGGCTACTCCCTGGAGGCGCAACCGCACCGCCTGCTTCATCCGTTGCACTTCCTTGTAAATCCCGGGGACGCGCGGTTCGGCCTGTTCCAACATGCTTGAGAGGATCAGTCCATCGGCGTGGTTGCAAATTCATTCGTTCCCTCGATTTTTGTTTTGCAAGGCTGGCGCCCAATCGTTGCCCTTTTCTCACCAAGAAAACGGACCTGACACCCCACCAACGGCCGCTGCTGCCCACACTCGCACGGTCCGCTCAGATACTTCCTCTCCCGAAGTTCCGACGCTTGAAAGTCGAACTCTGTGAAGTATCCGGAGGTGTGAAGACATTTTGAAGACCGCCAGCAAAACCCGAGGATCCG